TGCGTAGCTCAACTTGTTCAGTAAGTATTCTGCATCTCCTCATGACCTTTACAAAGAAAAAAAAAGAAAAATGAATTATTCACACTAATATGTTATATAGAGCATCAGTCATCATTTACACAAAATACTATGGCCCATATGATTATCATACAGTTAGGTATGAAAATTCAAAAGCATAATAGCATCGATGATAATCCACAATATAGTTAGATTTATAGTATTAACACTTTTTTCTAAAAAAACTTATTAAAGTAACTCTTTTACAGATGAAGACTGCACATCCCTCGAGCCCTCTATTCTGCCAGGAAATTGGTAACAGCCGGCTGCCCTCAAGAAAAGAAAAAGAAAGAAGCAAACCTGCTTACTCTTCATTCAAATTATAGAAAAACACAGGATTACATGGACCTAAGACGTGGGCAATCCTTGACAAAATTTCTTAAATTAATGGAAAAACAGTAATAAACATATAGAAAGGAAAATAAAACAAATGTTCAACCACAAGTATCACCCTTGTCATCCTACAGATATATAGGAAAAGAAAAAAAGAAAAAATAAACAAAATAAAGTGATAAAAACCTTCTCTGGGCCATTAGTTATGCAATCTTCAAGCTGCATGCATGAATGTTCATCTTTGCATGCCACTAGAACAACGCCATTGTCATCATCTTGACCTTCAACCAGATATTCTTCCCCCAACAAAGCTTGCTTTTGTCTTTCCTCATATATCTCTTCAAGAACCCCCTGCAACAGAGAGAATATTAGAATTCGTATTTCCCCTTCCTATAATTGATAATTCCTATTTTGGATTCGAAGAAAAAAGGGAAAGAAAAGAATACAGTAGGAATCAAAAGCACAATTATATTTAAATATCAGCAAGTATAAATTGTTAACAGGAAAGGTCTTTCCCCAGATATCTGTTTCTGCACTCTTGGGACGGCTTGGAGGTTTGTACAAGAATATCTCCCCCTCTAGTGTTCTCTAGATTTTTCTTCCTGATCAGGAGACTTTTATCTCCGCCTCTGTGTGGTTTTCAGCAGAGTAAGGAACATATACTGTTGTAGGGAAGTGAGCACTAAAGGGGTCTGTGTCCTTTTGGTCAGACCGGAACATGAGAATTTTCTGATATTGTTCTTTGTCATAGGTGGAGTACCGCTGCTCTATTTGTTAATACCCTCCGGTTTCTTTAGAAACTTCTTTTATATAAATCACGTAAGAGATTGGGCTTCCATTTTTCTTTATTCTCTCTTTGCTTCTCTTCCTGTATTATTTTAGCCATTCTTTCGATGGAAGGATCGTCTATCCTCCCACAGATTGTATTCTTTCTCTTTCTAATAATTGTTCTTCCTTTTGTTCAAAAAAAAAGTTGGGTGACCTAAAAGAAAAAAAAAAGAATACCCAACAGCTACCACAGAAATAGGGACTCACACACTCACTCTTAACACCCTCCATTTTGGTGCCTCCTCCAAGACTTCCTCAAGAGCAATTCCACTAGCAATTGCTGTCGTACCACCAACTGCTAAAAAGAAATGCAGAGAAGATTAAAAAGAAATGGTTCCGTCATAAAAGCTTATCAATATATTTCTTCAGCTTATCAATATATTTCTTCAGCTTATCAATATATTTCTTCAGTATACTTTCAAAAAAGATATATACTTCTTCAGTAATCTGTTAAAAGTTGTCATTCAGAAAATTCTTTTAAGGTGAAAAAAAGAAAGAAATGTGTTGATATAGATGAAGTGGCACAAAAATAAATATAAGCCCTCACCAAGTTTCTCATTATCCTCCCTCTCCTTTGATTTCCTCTTTTTGCTCATTGCACTCTGATCCTGCCCATTTGATTTCACATCACTTGACTTGATTATGCGGTAAACCCGCTTCTTTGCATAGTCAAATATCTTATAGCTGGACTCTGCAAATAGCCAAACAGATCTGAAGCTCTCTGATACTCTCAGTGTATCCAAATACTTCAAAAAACTCACTGCATCATACCTAATCCCATTAAATATCAAACATCAATTTCCTCAACCACAATTCACCAAACATTCAACAAAAACAATTTTTTGTTAGAAAGATAGGTTTTTACGAGTATGGGCTACCAACAAAATTTTTACATTTGTTATCCTTTAGCAAGACTTTTATATTTCCTTAAGATTTTAGTTATTATTTATTTAGAAGTATTATTCAGGTTAACTATTTTGCTATTTAAGAACTCGAGTTTTCAGCATAGAGGATTCAGTTTCCTAATCGAGGTGCTCTGGGCCTCCCACTT